TTATATTACCCCTCCCCCTTTTTACTTTATCAAAATAATATATTAAAATGTATAATAATACAGAAATATATTTATAATATTACTTTTTAATTCTGATAAATTCGAAGTGCGAATTTGTAAACCTTTTAATATGCACATAGTACAAAGGGCTCCGTAACGTTCCGTTTCAGAACGGCAGATTCATTTTTTTTTTTTTTAAACTCCGACTTTTGTTTATTGTTTTCCTTAAAGATGTATGAAACTTTCAGAAATCTAAAATATTTAATTAAAAGTGCCCAGTTCTACTCTGTATTTACAATACTTCACCTGTTCCAGAGTACTTGGTTCTTTGTTTTTGTTAATATTATCCTTGTTAGTCTGCTTGTAAGAAAATAAAAGGGTTAGTAACTTAGTTATTTGTTTGGCTCATGAGGAGGGGGGGGGGGGTCACAGAGGAATTGAATCTTTGTCACAAATTCAGATTGTCTAATATCTTTGTAACCCAATGTCGTAGACCTTTGATATTTCAAACTATGAATGCTGAATTTTACAAATCTGTTTGCAACGTCAAATTGCCAAGATTTGAAAATTTGAGTTTGTGGGAAATTTCAATTTCTATAGCGTAAAAGATGACGTAACAAAATATATACATAATCATTTATTCCTTTAACTACCAACAAAAACATTAAAGTTTAAGCAAAATAATTAGAGTAAAAAAGTAAATTCCAAAATATTTCTAAGAGGCTGTGAAGTTTTTCTTTAGAATGTGGTGTGGACTGGGTATCTGTTGTCAGTGCATCAGCTCTGGACCCACTACCTCCGAGTAAAGTGTTTAAACCAAAATATCCCCTACAATGGCTACAATCATATCGGTCTTCCGCTCCGGCAACATACTGGGACAGCTTCCCGAAGAACCTTGTGTGGCCTGGGAGATCAAGGAGGAACGGGAACCATGCATCTAAATCTAAATTTTCAAATCATGGAAATGTTCCAACAATTTTGTAAAAATCCGCGAATTTTAATAGAAAATTCGGTAAACTTGCAGTTTCCAAGCCCTTTTCAATCGAGATGGAGGCTAATTTTGCTAGTGGCAGCATAGAGAAAACTAAGAAGAAAGAAACTAATAATTCCAGAGCGTTGAGTGAACTAAAAAAGATGATGAAAAAGTGTGAAAATGAAAAGGCGAAACTGGAAAGCAAGCTGAGTGTTAAAAATGAACAGTTAAAGCAGAATCAGCTAAAGATAAAGAAGTTGAAGAATCAAATGGAAAACTACAAGTCCAAGTTTACTCAGCAGAACTCGAAAGAATACAGTTTCAATCCCAGATTGCTCTCCTAGAGCAGAGACCTGAGAGCAGTAAACCAACACAGGTGGAGGATCAAGCTAGTCTTACAGGTGGAAACCTGTTACAGGATATGATGGACAACTTCAGAGAACTAGCTGAGACTCATTTACAATGTGTTGTCTGTTCGGAACTGTTCGTAGATGCAGTGAGTATTAACTGTGGACATACCTTTTGTGACTACTGTATCAGTAAGTGGAGGAAGCAGAAGAATAACTGTCCGGTGTGTAGAACCAATATTAGAGCAGCTAACCCCATCAAGGTCCTGGATGAATACTCAGATAAAATATTTGAGCAATTTGTTTTGGAAGGAGCTAAGAAAAGCCGAGCAACCCTGAAGGAGGAGAGGGCCAAGCTTAAAGCTAAGTCTGTAGGATCAAGGAACAACAGGACGGTTTTCTCCGATACTAGCTCCGGCTCCTCAAGCAGCAGCAGTAGTACATCAGCTGAGGGGTCAGCTTCAGATTCAGACTAACTTAAAGGATTCATCTTTCCTGAGATTCTGAGAGCATCAACTGTTTTCATTTTATACTTTCATGAACGAAAATATATATTCTAAAGTCAATTTTGCTCTAAAATAAGGTTTTAGAAATCTTAGAAAGATTTTAAATTACAAAAGATTTGAGCTGATCACATACTAAAAGTTCCGATTTCTTTGTCTATTTTTTAAAGAATCCCAAATCGATTAATTTAAAAATGCGCCAAAATGTCCGTGAATCCACTTGATATAAATTCAAATGTTAATAATTTTCATTTTGAATAAAGCCTGCCATTTAGTTGAATTGAATCAAGTCAGCAAATTGGTTTTGTATTATTTTGTTATGTTTTGCATAATTTAAAGTTTTTTTNTATAAATACGTAATTTCAAATTAAAGGGACTATATAAATACGTAATTTCAAATTAAAGGGACTATATAAATACGTAATTTCAAATTAAAGGGACTATATAAATACGTAATTTCAAATTAAAGGGACTATATAAATACGTAATTTCAAATTAAAGGGACTATATAAATACGTAATTTCAAATTAAAGGGACTATATAAATACGTAATTTCAAATTAAAGGGACTATATAAATACGTAATTTCAAATTAAAGGGACTATATAAATACGTAATTTCAAATTAAAGGGACTATATAAATACGTAATTTCAAATTAAAGGGACTATATAAATACGTAATTTCAAATTAAAGGGACTATATAAATACGTAATTTCAAATTGCCCTTAATTTTTAGAGTGGCATTGAAACCTTTAAATAATCAGTAACGTAGAAGATATCACTGTATATACCTAGCTTAAAATGTGTTATAACGCAAGAAATCCGCAATTTGCTTTTTTGGAGAAGCTACAGTTTTCATGATGAATTTTCAGAGAGAAACTATTCTCATTCATCTTCATTGGACTAAGCTGTCATGAGTCAGACCAATCTAAAATGATATAATGGAAGGTTAGTTGCGTCTATACAGTCCTTTAAAACTTCTTGTTTAGATAATGTTAAACCCTCCGAATCAGTCCGGAAAGCCGCACGAATACAATCAACAGAAGAATCAAAATCCCAAATCTTTTCCCAATCCCAAATCTTTTCCAGCTGCTCAGTCTACTGCAGCTACATCCAATCCCAACTCAGCAGCAGTTGGGAAAACAAATGCAGCTGTTAAAATTGAAGAAGTTTAAATAAACATGTTTTCCATTTTTACCAATCTTTGTTTTCTTTCATCTACTACCTACATAATACATATGTATGTCCATAATTTTAATATCCAAAACAAAACAATTAAGATTATTAACAATGAAATCCATCTTTCGAAATTTTTTATGAAACAATTTTAACCAGCTTAACTTTAATTACATAAAACCAATAAATAAAGAACCGAATTTTAACTTTTAAAAAAATCACTTTTTTACTTACAAAAATACGAAACATAACATTTAAAAACTTAAATTAGCATTTTAAAACCAACTTTTTCGTTTTGAATGATAATAACAGTTTTGCCTTTTATAAAAGGGTTTGATCCCTATAAATTTTTTATAAAGATTTCTCATCGCGAATTTTTTATCTGATGAGTTTTTATCTTTTTTCAATTCATCCTTGATCTAAATCCTGTAAAAAGTAGAGAATAAATGAATAAACGTTAAACCGTTTTCTTTTCTTTGCTATTTTTACAGTGCTGGGTTGCATAGGGTAAACTATGGGTAAACTCCAAGATTTCTCATGGTATTGGATATTCTAGTTTATCTAGGGGTACATTAACTTGCTTCAAATTTCTTTATGGTATGGCAAAACTTTTATATTTGAAATTGGCTTTTATTCAATACAATTGTGACGACTATCTGTTTTTAATTTGATTTTTAACGACTTTTTATTCTGCAGAGGCAAATAAACATGTAAACAACAATAATTGTTGTTTTTGACATTAGTTCGGGTAATTAGTAATGTAATTAGAATGTCATAAAACGGGAAAATTTTAAGTTAATGTTTTGTAATTTTTAGAAATCAAACCCAAGATTCAATTAGTCTTCCTTATTGTTTTGAATAATACGACGACCTTCGTATCTTGGATACTTTAGAAAGCTTTCATTTGCAAACAAAACTTTAAACGTATTAAGGCACCATGATTTCAAGTTATCTATAAAAAACAGCGGGGATTTTTTAATTTAGATTTTTACGTCATTTAAAGGGAGTGTTCGCGAAAATGAAAACTTTTNGATGTCTTGAACTAAATAAATTCAAATAAAATGTAGTGTTCGCGAAAAATGAAAGAGGGTATAGGCTTACGACGAAAAATAAGCGCATTTGATCGCTACTAATATAAAATCTGTAAGTCTGAAGACTGTTGACTGTTGAGTTATAGACAAAATAAAAGAAACCGAATGCTTCTCTCTCTCGTTAGTTCAGGTTCAGAAAGTTGCAACATTCAACTCGGATCGCAAAATAGTTCATTATATTTTTGATTGTTTTTTTAAATAGTATTTCGATGGCGCTGGATTTTCAAACAATCCTGGAAAATATAAAAATGTCGTCTTCATTATCATAAATCTGTAACTATCAGATCATAAAAAATCAAAAATACTATGAAATATCAACTTCCTGAATTTTATGGACTCTACGTTCGCCGATATGAGTCGTTTTCAACAATTTTCTCCTTATAGACACAACAGATAGAAGTAAATCAAGATTAGAAGCGATCAAAAGCGCTTATTTTTGCCGTAAGCCTACACCCTCTTTCATTTTTCGTGAAAACTCCCTTTAACTGAATTTATTTAGTTCAAGACATCAGAACCATGGGATATGAAAAAGGAAATAAATTAATTCCTATGTCTGCACAAGATTAAGATCAATGTTTAAATTGCTTATTTTTCCTAATAATGTGTTCATGGAAGACCACTTTCATTAACATCTACGAAACTGGATATTGCTAGACGAGTTAAAGATTAAAACGAAATTAATTGAGAGGGACAGAATATTATATATTTATGAATATATTCAAATTCTTAATAAAATAATTATATAGTTAATTTTAACATGGCTACACAATATATTAACTGTCACAGGTCTAGGACTAGAGCAGGGTTGTTCGTAAAGCATGAAAACATGCCATGTTTACCAACTACCCCTGTACACTGTACATTTACACTGAAACTGTTATATACAAGTTACAACGAATGAATTTGATTTTTTACTACTGTTCTGTGAAGTGAAGGGTAAAAAAATAATTTTTTTTTTTTATTTTTCTGTTTTTCTAAAATAATCTTGTGGTTTTCTAATTTATAAATGAAATTTACCCTCTTCACAACAACATTGTTTACAATATTTATAAATGACAAAAATATACAATTTTAGATTAATAACTATTCTACTGTACAATAGAAATATTTTGGAAGATATATCTTGAAACTAGAAGTGGGACTTGTTCTTCAATACAAAATGAATATTGAAAGTATCGAAGAATAGGAATTGTAACCATGTTTTCCAAATCAAAAAACATTCCAATAAAAATAGTTTCATTGAAAATCGTCCTAAAGTAGAAAACTGGTAGGTTTCCTTCCCATGGCAGGATGCCGATTAAATTTACATAAAATAAAATAATGTTTTTTTAAATATGTATTTAGAGATTGGTACTTCTAGCACCGTGTTATGTTGAGCTACTCTGAACGTAATCAAACCTAAGAATAGAAAACTTGTAAATTAAAAACATCCATTAAAGGGACTGTAATCTTAATTTCAAGTTACCCTCCATTTAAAGAGGGACATCCTCGATCCCAAACGGTTCCCTTTAAACCTTTGACTGATCATCGAGGACAGAGATCTCAGTGTATATATCTCTTAAATGCTGTGTAAAAAGTCGTGTAGAAAGTAAATATTAATATCCCTAGAAGAATAGACAGCTTTCAAACAAAGTGTTCAACAATAAAAAGCACATCTTTAGATAAATGATAAATGATAAATGATAAATGATAAATGATAAATGATAAATGATAAATGATAAATGATAAATAATAAATGATAAATGATAAATGATAAATAATAAATGATAAATGATAAATGATAAATGATAAATGATAAATGATAAATGAATTACTCTTGAATATTGAAAGACTGGTCTCTACTACGCATATTCCCCATCTCATATTCAGAATTCTCTCTGAAAATATGAATTAAGTAAATAAGTAATTAGATAAGTAATTAGATAAGTAATTAAATAAGTAATAAGAGTAATTAGATAATTTAATAAAAAATATATAATAGCTTTAAAAAAATTTAAATGGAAATCTAAAAAATAATTTAATAAGGATCAAAATAATAATAATAGTTACGTAATTCAGAAAAATAAGAATTAGATTATTCATTAAATAATTAATTTAAAGAATAATTAGATAATCAATATAATAATGAATTAAAAAAATAATTAAATAGTTCTTTGAAAATTGTTATTGAAATAAGTAATAAGATTATTTTTCGATAGAGATCTAGAGGTCGTACTTTGTGATTGTCTGTTTTTTAGAAATCAGAAAATTTTGTTCCAGTTAAAAGTTTGCATTGTACATTAAGACCCAAAAAAACTATAGAATAGAAAAACTACATTTAAGCAATGAAAATCAACTTATTAAGTGAAATGGGTCTGTGAACACTGCACAATTGATGTGTTTCAAGTGCATTATACTATTTAAAGTAATAACTTGAGCCCGACTGTCGTCTTCCTACTTGGCGATCCACAGTTTTAATGATCCTACTGTATTCAAATAGATTTAGATCAAGAGAAAACTAGAATCATCTTAATTACTGCCACATCTAGTAATTTCTAACCTACAGAAGCTGTATACAAGATTACAAGATTCTGCTTTATATAAAGGAATAGACTGTTTAGTAGTTCAATACCAGATTCTAATATATGAATAAGACTAGACTGTTTAGTAGTTCTATACCAGATTCTAATATATGAATAAGACTGGAATGTTTAGTAGTCCTATACCAGCGTCTGATATATATATATAGGACTAGACTGTTTAATAGTCCTATACCAGATTCTGATATGTATAGGACTATATTGTTTAGTAGACCTATGCCAGATTCTGATATATAGAACTAGAATTTAGTAGTTCTATACCAGATTCTGATATATATAGGAATAGACTGTTATACCAGATAATGATATATATAGGACTAGACTGTTTAGTAGTCCTATACCAGATTCTGATATATAAAAGGGACTTGAGTGTTTAGTAGTCATATACCAGATTCTGATATATAAATAGGAGAAGTGGTGAACATACCTGTTTAGTAGTCCTATACCAGATTCAGAAGTATGAAATTGACCGGGTTTTCCAATTCCCAGAGTGTGCATTTTCTTGATGTTTGGAGTCAATCCTTCTCTTAGATTCTAGAACAGAAATTAATTTAATTTATATTCATTAAAAATCGAACAATTTTCTAGCAAAAACCTATTGAAGAATTGAGAAAATTTTGACTTGATATGATCTTACTTTTAGGTTTTGTTTTTTGATATTTTTAAGGGTTTAAACGTTCCCTTTTCAATTTCATTTACCAATTGAAATCTGTCTCATAATAGTGCTTGATAATTTATGTGTAATCTTACGAAACATTATGAAAAAGAATAAAATATTAATAATTAATACTGCAATGAATTCAAATATGTTTTAATTAATTTCTCTGTCAAAATATATTGTACAACGCCTACACTTCTACTGAATTTTAATGTCAAATAAGTTTAATAATTTTACTCGCAAAATTTTGAAAGATAAAATAATACTATTTATTAGAAAATCTGTGAAAAGAAACTAAAATACGCGCAGAAAATATATATTTTTAACTAAAATACGCGCAGAAAATATATATTTTTAACTAAAATACGCGCAGAAAATATATATTTTTAACCTTAAAAACTATGAATTCTGCCTGATTAAAGGGTCAAACTTTANTGATATGAGATTAATATAAAAGCAAACTAGAGAAAACTTGTTAAATAAAATAGTATGTTTTTAATTTAATATTATTCCAACAACTAAAACTTTTTTTTCTAATTAGAAGTTTTATAAACTACAAATGTTGACAAATGCCTTTTTTTATGTAAAATAAAAATGACAATATTTTAATAAAAAAAAATCTTTATTATGAGAGACTTTGTATAAGTATAAAACCCAACATATTTTAAGCTCTATTTTACTTTAAAATATCAAAAAAAAATTGCAGATAAAATGTTAGTAAAGAACACAAAAGGTGTTCTGCAGTTTGCTTGGGAAGTATTAAAATAAATCTGACTTAGGTTCACTCTGAGATCATTTATTTTTGTTTGGAAATAAAGCACAAAAATAAAAATTTCGGATTTTCTGGTTGAACAGTTAGATAATAAAACCAAATATCTGCAAAAATTTTAAAAAGCAAAATATAAGAAAATTATGGTAAACGTATTTCTTCATCGTGTGGAGATTACCAATTACATCATTTAATCTTCAAACAAGGAGAAAACTAACTAATTCTGTCCATTTAAAATTTTCTCTATCATATTCTTAAGGTATTGAGTATTTGCCAAAAACTCTAATTTTCTACTCCCTACATCTTTGCAGTCAAATGTCGTAGACCTTAGATATTTCAAACTAAGAAAGATATAAGATCAAATAAATTAAGTTTATAATATCAAAGCTTTACACCAAAAGGTTGCAGAGATATAAAGATTAGGAAATTAAAGATGTTGGCAAAGATTCAATTCCTTTTTATTTAATAAATAAAAAATGGTAAAATGGTACCTCTAGAACTGTTCCAGGACGGGTAAACAGGTAGTATATAGCATATCCTTTAAGAGTACATTTCAATTTCTTATTCTAAAGAGAGAGACTGCCAAAAATAAAGAAGAGTATTTTTATTTCGCACACCGTTCGCTAAAAAAATGCAAAAAAATAAAATCTTTGCAATTTTTCGCGAAATTGTAGCATGTTTTTTTTACGAAATAATACAAATTTTTTGCTTCCTTTCGCAAAATTCATTTTCTCGAAAAAAAATATTAATTTCACGAAAAAGTTTGCGAAATTTCGCATTTTTTTGCGAAAGTTTACGTTTGCTGGAAACCTATATTTAAGGGCAAGCGCCAATTCGTTGGAAAAGCTGTACTTTTATTGTCCCAAAAAATAAAGATAAAGAAAAATTCTTGTTTTTATAAAAAAAATATTATTACTTCGTAGAACATAGTTCTTAATTATTTCTTGCTAAGTATTAAATTGCATTTTGTGTTCTTAGGGTTTTTGTGAAGATTAGTTTTGCGTATTATTGTTTATTAATTAAAGTCTATCTTGACCCATTCTTATTTTATCTGAAAAATGGAAAAGAACAAACTGTTTGATAGGGTCAAAATTTAAAATTTAAAAGGTTGTTTGATTTTAGAATTGCTTTCTTATGGGGCTTAGTATATCCAGAGTCTGGAAGTGTCAGACCAATGATAAAGTTTCCCAGTGTCAAGGCCAATATTCCATTAATGTGGAAACTTTTGAGGATTATGCTTACGCAAAACTTGGCTTCGGAAATCATAAAAAAAATCCAAAAACCCGCATTCATATGATTTCATTATTTTTATTAAACCCAGTTTATTTTATGAATAGTACGTCAAGGACATACAACTTGAGGTAGAAGGTTCCCAGTTCTTAAGGTTCTATAAGCAAACCTTGTGCTTATAACTTATCTTAAGAGGATAAAAAAAAAGAAAAAAAGAGGATTATAAATGATGACGTATTAAGAAATGTTGTGTTTACTTAACAAACTTGTATACTCATAACCGATCATGATTTTGTTAAAATAAAAAATTATATTTGTTTTGCCGTATCATCAAGATCAAACCATGATTTAACATTTATTTTTATTCATTTTTGCTTTGTAAACCGATAAATAAAAAATATACTGGGTTACCCGCAAAGATAAAAATTCAAAGATAACTATACAGAATTTTTTTAGTCATTTTTCTTAAAGTCTTGGTTCCCTGCAGTTATAATACTGTTTCTTTTATTGTCAAATTATTCACTAAATCATTTAATCACGTTATGTGTGGCAGAAAAGAATTAGCCTACAGATCGTTATAAATTTTCATTTTTAAGGTCGTCATTGAAGTAACCCTGAGATGGAATTTAAAGAATTTGAGCCGCGGTTTAAATCTGCCAAAACCCGGTTTAAATTAAGCGCCGGCTTAAATCTTGAAACATTCGATACAATTTTTAGTGGAACCAACCATATTAAAACCGCCGCTCAAATTCTTTAAATTCGGCCACTGTATTGCTAAAAAATTTATCTATTAATTAAACCGTTTTTTCGTCTAAAGGCATTGATCATAAATAAATCATGATTTATTCAGATTTTTACAAATTAAAACTTGCAGCGCCGCCCAGGTAAAAAATAAGTTTAGATGAAAATAATTTTATAATCTTTACAGTATTATTTTGAAAGAAACATTAGATAGAAACAAAAGTAGTGTTTATTGATTCATTGTTATCATAAACCCCTACCCCTCAATATTTTGATAAAAACACGCTTAAAATCGAACAAAATAAATGCAGGGGTCCTGTTTTTCTAAAACGTTGTATAATCTTCACTTACGAATGTGATTGAAGTTTAAATCCGTTTAAATGTTTCCATTACTCTTGCACAAAAGTAAAAACAGACTTAGATCACTAAAATCCAAATAAAGGAATTTAAACTGGATTTTCTAATAGACTAATATCTTTATCTTTACAACCACAATGTAGTAGACCTTACATATTTCAAACTAGGATTTCTAATAATCAAAGTTTAAAATCTCAAAAGTTTACACCAACAGGTTGCAAAGATATAGGGATTCGAAAATTTGAGTTTGCGGCAAAGAATCAATTCCTTTTTAAAAAGCGAGAGAAGCGTTTAAAAGATTACACGGATAAAACAGCCTCAATGTTTTGCTCTGCTTCTTATTGCATTTTAACACTAATAGAAACATTTCTAGTGACAACCTGAAAAGCAAAGACTGCATTCTGCGTAATCTGTATTAAAACAGCTTATTTGTTTCTTTGGACCCTCCCAATATTTCAGGTTTGGTTAGATTAGAATAGTCATGTGAATCACGGAATTTTCATACATTAAATTTTTTTCTATTTTTTTGCGATTGAGAATCTTTTTGAAATGTATTCCTGGGATCCAGATCATCGATGCTAAGGACATACCCAGCCCTAGTGCTTCAGCCCAGCCCGGGTAGATATAATCCTTTCCATAGGTTACCGGTTTATAGGAGTAAATATAGAATCCAAACACAAACTAAACAGAAATCTTAATTTTTGTGTTCTGAATCTCGGAATTAATCTGTTGATCTCAATCTTTTGTAGATCAACAGATTAATTAAATCGATGTACATTGTACACCCTGTACACCCTGCAGGAATAACTTTAAAGGGACTGTACGCGAAATTTCAAGTGACCCTCTATACATAAGATGGGAGTGCCCGATTCACGATGGTTCGATCCCTTACAAGTTTTGACTGATCACGTATTAATTAAAATTAAGAAAACTGTTTTTTTTTTCAATTTAGGCCTTCTCTACAAAAGTGACTTTAGCACATGTCTACGCAGGAATTATAAGAACTAAAAACTTTTAAATCTCGAGAAACGACAATATCTTCTACATTATTGATTAGATAAAGGTTAAAATGGTACCGTTGTGAATCGGGCATTGTTATCTTTATCTGGAGAATATCTCCAAAGGAATTGAGTCTTTGCCACAAACTCTGCTTTTCTAAACCCTATATCTTTGGATTCCAATGTCGTAGACCTTAGATATTTCAAACTATGAATTCTGTTAGATCAAATAATATAAGTTTGAAATATCAAAGATGTACGACATTGGGTTCCAAAGATATAGGGATTATAAATTCAGAGTCTGTGACAAAGACTCAATTCCTTTAAAAATGGCCACAGATCGAGATAAAACGTTCAAGATTAATATAGATTAATATAGATTAATATATAATATAGATCGTAATATTGAATAAACCGAGAGATTTCCTAATCTCGAAAATGGTGTTCTAATTTACGAACAGAATTTTGGTTGATACGAATTTGAGATTTGAGATACTTAACATTCTGTTTATTATTTCGAACAACATTTTTGGAGTTTCGAAATGTTTTCGCTAGTTCGATATTACAATATTAGGGACAGCTAATGTCGGGCATCTTCTTAGATCCATTGAAAGGGTTTGTGCTTCTAAAATGACTGTAAACTTTATTTCAAGTATGAAGTAACCCTCCATTGATAGAATGTTATTGCACAACGTTACCCTTAAAAACCTGTTTATTTTTATTTGCAGTTTGTTTGCAGAAGTGACTTAATCAGTTTTTCCTCAGAAACAATGAATAAATTGTCAGAATTAAACACTTTTCTAGCTAGATCTTTTACATAATTGAAGAGATTAAAAGTATATCGTTGTGAATCTGATATGCCCACTGTTGTATAGGGTCTCTTTCATCATATTTCAACGAACACTTGGTTCAAAATCACGAGAAGATCCCTTTGAACTTACCGATGAATAATATTTCCAAGTTTTGTTTTTGAAAACTGTTTATTTTAATGTGTTGTTTCTCTGTAAAAGTGACTTGTCCATTTTTTTCTTCAGAGACAGTGAAAAAATTAATAGAATTAAACACTTCTCAAATAAAAAAATTACATTATCTTTCACTTTATTGAACATATTATGGTTTTAAGGACATCGTTGTGAATCGGACATATCCCTCTTTTTTAGTGGAGGGTCCCTTTAATCATATTTTGACGAACACTCCCATTAACTTACCGCCATTACAGATGGAGCAAAATATTTCCAGCACATAAACCAGAATATTCCTGGTCTTCTCCCGGTCATCTGTTCTACGCAGTCACAGAACTTGGCTGTACCGAAGAACCAGCCAATGGCAATCGTTTGGAAGAAACAGACCCAGAGGAGCGCCATTCCTGCAGTACCATTTAAATTATAAACAATCGTGATGAAAGAAAGACAATTTAAAGTAACATTTTTAAATTTTATGTGAAGGCAGATTTTAACAAACCTGGCCTGAACACCTGTATCCAGGAATAAACTGACCTGTATCCAGGTATAAACTGACCTGTATTCAGGTATATACTGACCTGTATCCAGGAATAGACTGACCTGTAACCAAGTATAAATTGACCTGAAAACCTGTATCCAGGTATAAACTGACCTGTATTCAGGTATATACTGACCTGTATCCAGGTATAAACTGACCTGTATTCAGGTATATACTTACCTGTATCCAGGTATAAACTGACCTGTAACCAAGTATAAACTGATCTAAAAACCTGCATCCAGGTATAAACTGACCTTAACACCTGTATCCAAGTATAAACTGGCCTGATCCAGGCATAAACTGACCTGTATTCAGGTATATACTGACCTGTATCCAGGTATAAACTGACCTGTATTCAGGTATATACTGACCTGTATCTAGGTATAAACTGACCTGTAACCAAGTATAAACTGATCTAAAAACCTGCATCCAGGTATAAACTAACCTTAACACCTGTATCCAAGTATAAACTGACCCGAAAACCTGTATCCATGTATAAACTGACCTGTATTCAGTTATATACTGACCTGTATCCAGATATAGACTGACCTGTAACCAAGTATAAACTGACCTAAACACTTGTATCCAGGAATAAACTGACCTTAACACCTGTATCCAAGTAAAAACTGACCTGAACACTTTTATCCAGGTATAAAATGACCTGAAAACCTGTATCCAAGTATAAACTGACCTGTATCCAGGAATAAACTGACCTGTATTCAGGTATATACTGACCTGCATTTAACACCTGTATCCAGGTACAAACTGACCTGTATGAGTATCCAGGTATAAACTGACATATGTCTAGTTACAAACTGACCTGAACACCTGCATTCAGGTATAAACTGACATATGTCCAGTTATAAACTGACCTGAACACCTGCATCCAGGTATAAACTGACCTGAACAGCTGTAGAAGTCCATGAGCTGGAACATATATATTCCTCCCTCTGTACACATTGGAATACCAAGGATAAATAGGAACACACACAAACAAACTAGAATAAAGTTTAATATAATTACAAATATCGATTCTTAAGGTCAAAATGCCCTTAAAGGTAGTGCTGTGAAAGTTAAAGGTATAGGCTACCCCATAGCTGTATTTAAAATCAATCGGTTTCCATCTTTTTTTTTCATTTTTTGAGAGAATCTTAAAACACGTCATCTCATAAAATTCCTGTAAATATAACCCTGTTGATAAATTGCTGTCGAAACTTATATTGTTCAATTAGCTTCAAACTGATCCTAGTTTAGCCTGTAACCCTTTTAATTTTCGCAAACATTCCTTTGTATTTTAAATAAATCCTACCTGTAAATGCTCTCCTATGCTTGAGAAGTTTATCAGGCCAGTTATCCACTATACCAGTCACTAGTGCTTCTACATTGCAGAACTCACTGTCAATCCCCAGAACTGAATATAGCGCTAGATTTTTAAACTAATAACTACTTGCTTCATACTTTTAATTCCTATATCTTTAAAACCTAATAATTAAATCTTTTATATTTTAAACTTTAACTTTTTGATTTTGCAGATTCCAGAGATGTCATAGAAAGGTCAATAAAATTAGCCATTTATGATCTGAAGGACAAAATAATGCATAAATAAATAAATATTTTAAAAAGAGTATCGATATAAAACCTGTTTTTTATCATAAGACCAAATAGATTTTAAAAACGACTCATAAGAATTTTCGGTCGTACTGGTCATATAGATTTCAACGCTGGCAAAAGAAATTCAGAGCTTTTTAGGAAAAACAGGAAAAATTTATAAAGAGGGTTTTCAAATTGGTTCATCAAGATTTTGTTTATTTTCCCTAAAAGTTTATATTCAGGAAATGTGAGCTCGCATATATACAATATAAACATTCTGGAAGGAAGGATTTTGCTTGGGAAAAGGCCGGAGAATACATTTTTAAAGAAAATTTACTGCCGATGTTTTTCATAGATTTCAGATTTAAAGGGACTGTAGACGATCTTCCATTTCTAGAATGGAATGTCTATTTCCAGGTTGCAAACAATCTTTAGTATAAAGAAAACAAATGATTCGATTCCCCGGCGTCTAAAATCCATTTTCACTGTGATTTAAAGGTCTCAAGCAAACAAGCTAAAATCCATCTTCACTGTGGTTTAAAGGACTCAAGCAAACAAGCTGAAATCCATCTTCACTGTGATTTAAAGGACTCAAGCAAACAAGCTAAAATCTATCTTCACTGTGATTTAAAGGTCTCAAGCAAACAAGCTAAAATCCATCTTCACTGTGATTTAAAGGTCTCAAGCAAACACGCTAAAATCCATCTTCACTGTGGTTTAAAGGTCTCAAGCAAACAAGCTAAAATCTATCTTCACTGTGATTTAAAGGTCTCAAGCAAACAAGCTAAAATCCATCTTCACTGTGATTTAAAGGTCTCAAGCAAACAAGCTAAAATCCATCTTCACTGTGATTTAAAGGTCTCAAGCAAACAAGCTAAAATCTATCTTCACTGTGATTTAAAGGTCTCAAGCAAACAAATCTTCACTGTGATTTAAAGGTCTCAAGCAAACAAGCTAAAAGCCATCTTCACTGTGGTTTAAAGGACTCAAGCAAACAAGCTAAAATCTATGAGAACTTTGCCGATTACTTATTAAAAACCACAGCTAACAACAAATGCGTTATAGTGCTAAAATGTACATGTACAAGGCTACAGAAAAGTATATGTGAGATAGGCTGAATCTATGTCGCCACCATTGTGAATGGAACAGGACACTCTTTGATTTTTAAATGGAGAGTCAATTAAAATTACGTCTGCAGTTTCTTTAATGAACTCTATCTTAAAGTTTGTTAACCTATCCAATAGCCGATAAACTACCTACGCCATTATTGTATAGAAAACATCTGATTGCCATACTCATGCAAAATTTCGGTAATAAATGTACAATTATTCCTGCTTTTGATGAAACAGAAGTTTTTTTTAAAAAAATCGGGAAAATGTAAAATGAGTAAAAAGTTTCATATTTTAAAGCTTCATCATATTTTTTTTTTATTATGAAACAGCTATGCATTCTTTTGATCGTATATGTTAAACATGATATGCATATTGATCTATTTTCATAACACAGCTCAATTGAAACATTGTTAACCTTTTCTTTAGTTAAAATGATAAAATGAAAAATTTGAAGAAAAAAAGTTTAAAATGAGATAAATTCTACCTAATAGCATGACAAAGAATATTGTTGCCCACAGTACTGAACCAGGAAGAGTGATAACCTAAACAAATATTTAGTACTGAACCAGGAAGAGTGATAACCTAAACAAGTATTTAGTACTGAACCAGGAAGAGTGATAACCTAAACAAGTATTTAGTACTGAACCAGGGAGAGTGATAACCTAAACAAGTATTTAGTACTGAACCAGGGAGAGTGATAACCTAAACAAGTATTTAGTACTGAACCAGGAAGAGTGATAACCTAAACAAGTATTTAGTACTGAACCAGGAAGAGTGATAACCTAAACAAATATTTAGTACTGAACCAGGAAGAGTGATAACCTAAACAAATATTTAGTACTGAACCAGGAAGAGTGATAACCTAAACAAATATTTAGTACTGAACCAGGAAGAATGATAACCTAAACAATATTTAGTACTGAAGCAGGAAGAGTGATAACCTAAACAAATATTTAGTACTGAACCAGGAAGAGTAATAACCTAAACAAATATTTGATTTTTATCCTTTTTAGATTTCTGGTAACATGACCCAAGGAAAGATTGTTGGACGGTCAGCTATGTTTATTCAAAATCTAGAAAACTTCCCTCTAAAAAAATTGTATTATTGTTTTAAAATATTAGTAGAAAACTTTCGCGTGTACAACAACATAAAGTTAAAATTTTTACTAGAAAGAGAGGAGACACTATGTATGCATATATAGTATACATATATCTGTAATAATGTGAGATTCATAAAACTGCAGAACATAAAAGACGACATTTAGTAATCTTTTATGTATTTGATGAAGCAAATAGTTTTACCATGGAAGCTAGAAATCAACTTATTTAGTGAAAAAGGTCTGTGCACACTGCACAACTGCTGTGTTTTATATTCGTTGGACAATATAAAATATTAACTTGAGTCTAATATTTGTCTTTCTTTTCCACATTTTTACGATTCCCACTTTTTTATCAATATTTTTCTATTTATTTGATTTTTTTCTAATTATTTTCTAATTAATGTCTACTTATTTTCTAATTATTTTCTATTATTTTCAAACTATTTTCTATTTATTATCATCTAAATATTTTCTAATTCTTATCTATTTTCTATTATTTCCAAACTATTTTTTATTTATTATAATCTAATTATTTTCTAATTATTATCACTAATTATTTTCTAATAATTATCTGACTAACAAAAGTGCCTAGTGCTGCTGGTGAAATTTTAAAATCATGTAATTTATAAGATAAAAAAACATTTAGATTTTTGAGGAAATATCGGATTTTTGAGCCCTTAGTTACTCCCAGGGTACCTTGGTTACTCCCAGGGTACCTTGGTTACTCCCAGGGTACCGATGAGTTTCCTCAAAAACTTTCAGCTTATTCGGTTCAGTCGTTTGGCCAGCTATAGCTAACATATATACAAACAAATATATCTATATATATATTAGTATATGCGTAAAGAGCTGTATTATAAAGATTATTTGTTATCGTTATCTAATTATTTTTTTCCTATTTTTGTCTAATTACCAGATCAGGATAGGTAAGGAAGACAAGTCCAGGTCCACTGTTTACAACTTCATCCAGGGTAGCTCCCTAGGCAGAAATCATTTCAAGGTTAACAAGGTCAAGGTCAAAGTCATGGTCAAGGTCAAAGTCATGGTCAAAGTCAAAGTCATGGTAAATGTCAAAGTCAAGGGAAAGGTCAAAGTCATGGTCAAGGTCAAAGCCATGGTCTAGATCAAAGTCATGGTCAAGGTCAAGGTAAAGGTTAAGGTTAATGTTAAGGTTCAGGTTAAGGTTAAGGTTAAGGCTAAGGTTAAGGTTAAGGTTAAGGTTAAGGTTAAGGTTAAGTTTAAGGTTAATGTTAAAGTTAAGGTTAAGGTTAAGGTTAAGGTTAAGGTTAAGGTTAAGGTTAAGGTTAAGGTTAAGGTTAAGGTTAAGGTTAAGGTTAAGGTTAAGGTCAAGGTGAAAAACAAAGTCAAAATCAAGGTAAGGTTAAGGTTAAGGTCACCTTCAATGTTGGATTTAAAGTCAAAGTCAAAGTTAAGGATAAGGTCTAAATTATGAATAAGGTTTAGATTAAGGATAAGGTTTAGATTAAGGATAAAGTTTAGATTAACGATAAGGTTTAGATTAAGGATAAGGTCATTGTCAAGATTAAAGTCAGGGTTAAGATTATGGTGCTGGACTAGAGGAAGTTTTACCTGAAGTTTGGCCATATATCCTAGAATAGAGAATACTAGAACACCAGCTAGCAGGCAGGTCAAACTGTTCACGATACAGGTATAATAGCATCCCTAGATATAGCTTATATAGAATACGGGGGTTAATAGTGGCCCTTAGATGTAGAAAATATAGGATACAGGGGATAATAGTATCCCTAGCTACAGATAATATAGGATACAGGAGATAATAGTATCCCAAGATATAGATAATATAGAATACGGGGGTTAATAGTATTCCTAAATACAGATAATATAGAATACGGGGGTTAATAGTATCCCTAGATACAGATAATATAGGATACAGGAGATAATAGTATCCCTAGATACAGATAATATAGGATACAGGAGATAATAGTATCCCTATATATATAGATAATATAGGATACAGGAGATAATAATATACCTAGATACAGATAATATAGGATACCGGGAATAATAATATACCTAGATACAAATAAAATAGGATACAATGGAGAATAGCATTCCTAGATATAGAAAATATAGGATACAGGGAATAATATGATTCCCAGATACAGATAATATAGGATACAGGGGATAATAGTATCCCTAGATACAGATAATATAGGATACAGGGGATATTAGACAATATCAGATTTATGCGAATGCTAATGAAGTTAAGGGACATTATCTTCTTAAACCAGGCGGAATTTGGCTATCGAAAATCTATGCATTTAATTTGCAAACTTGAGTTTAAAGTTATAATACTGAAAATCATTATCTCTGCAGATATCCTATTCTTGATTAATTTAGTTTCCATCTGATTGTACCAGATTAAATCTCAAAAAAATATCCTCTTTATCTTTACTAACTTCTTAAAAAACTTTGTTAGATTCGCATAAAACTTTGGTAGTCATCTAAATCATCAAATCAAGAAGAGAATTATAGAAATGGTTAAAAGGTATTTATCAGAGCATAAAAAATTGTTTTAAAAAAATTTAGCATTTTTTCATTTTGCACGGGAATAAAAACGTTAGTGACCTTTTATTTAATAAGTGACAAGCCTGATTCAGAACAGTACCATTTTACTAAATATCTGAGTAATGATAAGAAAGATATCTTAAAACGTGAAAAATTCCGACAGTTTCTTCAATGACCTCTGCAGCACAAGTCTATCAATCATTTTGAGATACCATCAATAAAATAAGGACAATAAGACAAAGGTTTAAAGTGTTCCGTTGCGAATCGGCCGTGCCACTCTATAGATATATGCTCACACAAAATTGCGTTTACTGTTTAATATTTAAAATTAATTGCAGATCGTAAACCGACAGATAATAACTTGAAGCAGTTATGATGGAACTTGTTCTAATAATAACTTGAAGCAGTTATGAAGGAACTTGTTATTATACTAACTTGAAGCAGTTATGATGGAACATGTTATTATACTAACTTGAAGCAGTTATGATGGAACTTGTTATAATAATAACTTGAAGCAGTTATGATGGAACTTGTTATTATACTAACTTGAGTTAGTTATGATGGAACTTGTTATAATAATAACTTGAAGCAGTTATGATGGAACTTGTTATAATAATAACGTTAAGCAGTTATAATGGAACTTGTTATTATTCTAACTTGAAGCAGTTATGATGGAACTTGTTATTATACTAACTTGAAGCAGTTATGATGGAACTTGTTATTATACTAACTTGAAGCAGTTATGATGGAACTTGTTATAAGACCCCAGGGCAGGTAGAGCACCCATACCAACACTGTACGCGAAGAAGATCTGAGAAGCGCCATCAATCCATGTTTGACCGTCAACTAGCTTGGCAGGGTCAACATGGATCATATACCACAATCCATCAATAGCTCCTACAACAAATATAATTTACAAAAAGGTAAATTATTCCTCCTTAAATGGAATGTAAGTGTAATTTATGTAATTTTAAGTGACCTTGGAAACTTATTATTTACAGTGATATATAAATAATACTTGATTAGACAAAGCTATTAAAGGAACGTTGTGAATCGGGCCTTGCCATCTCTTTCTGGAGCACATTTGTTTTCCGTATCCATTAGCGCCTGATCCAATCAGGGTTTAGTCATGTGTTTGGTGTTTATTCTGAACCAATAGAAATTGCATGGTGGTAACATCTATCTTTCTATCTATCTATCTCAATATCCAATTATGAGATGAATCCTTAAATCGGCGCAAAACAGTAAATAGAAATATTTTAAAATTCCACGGGCAACGCCGGGCACTTGAACTATATTGAAGTATATAAACGGTGGCAGGCTATTATGTCAAAATAACAAAGACGTCTTTCTATTTAAGTTTTATTTGATAACAAGCCTTTTTCAAGTAAGTAAAGAGAAGCTTTTTTAACTGACAGCTTCTAATTGTTTATATGTTTTTGTACATTCATGCTGTTAAAAAACTTTATATGATCCCAAATTAAAATCGAAAGTCGTCTTCATTATATTGAAATAATCGCCTACCACCGTAGAACCTACCGTCCAAAGTGAGAGCTCTAAAAAGCAGGATGAACATCACGAAGTAAGGGAATAAAGCTGTAAACCAAATAATTTTTCCTAAATTATTGTAATTATCAAAACAACTGTCTAAAAGTAAGTCAAATAGTTTCAAAACACTGCCCTTTAACAAAACATTAAAAATCATTGATACATTTTTCAGAAAATTTACCTTTGTTGGGAATGTTCTATTACCAAATTTAAAAATTTAGAATAAAAAAATTGGTAGATATAAAAAATCAATTTAGAATGATCAAATCACGTTTTTGATTAGAAAAACTAACAGACGAATTTCCAATCTGCCAAAAACTGAGAGAAAGAAGAAATATTCTTTTTATGGTATTCCAGAAAAACACTTGTTTCTTATAAATCATGCATAAAAACTTGAGAAAAAAAACTTAATGGAATTCAACCCATTTTCTAACATACGAAAAGTAAGAAATAAATCCGCGAAATTTAGTGTCCTCCTTTTTTTCTAAATGAAGATTTTACAGGAAGTACTGAGTATTCAGGAACATATTTTAGCGGTAGGATAGGATTAGTCTTGAGTTAAATTCAAAAATTGTAAAAAAGTTTGGTCTATTTTATAAAACCATTTAAAATGTATGTGATATCTACACAGTTTAATAAACCAGAAAAGATCTATATTGTGTTCTTTAATCCTTGTAAGTTGCAGGATGATTTAACTTATAAACCCTTAAGCCTGTACGAAATTATATACATAATAAATTATATACATAATAAATTATATACATAATAAATTTCACTTATTTCAGGACAAAGTATTGTATAATACAGGAAACCTTTTGATCATTTTTCCGCAGATTTTATAAATGATACAAAAAATGTTAGCAGTTGTTTCTGGTCTGTCTTAGTCAAAGAGAATAGAATATATATTAGAGTGGAATTTACTAGAAAAAAGTGTAAAACGGCCATTTTGTTGTACTGCTCCCATACTGCAGGTGCACTCACATATTTATGCAATATAATATTTTGGGCCCTGGAACATCATTTTATAGAAAATCTAAAATTAATATTAAAAGAAAACCAAATTATGAAATAGGCTAGTTTCATAAATCTTTATAAGTCACTTTTCTAGATAAACTATAAATAAAAATAATCCATTTTAAGCGAGTAAACATTGATATATCATTTATTCTTGAAAGTATTTAAGGGTACTGTTGTCAATCGAACATGCCACTTCATAATTGGAGGTCCACTTTAAATTACATCTGCAAGTCACTTTAACGAGAATGGATTTATGTCATTTAAGTACATTGAGAACTTTTAAGTTAAAAAGTTTATTCTCAATAAGTTTGATTTTATTGTATTGTGCAAAGTTTACAAAAAAACTTATACATCAAAGAATCACTCATCTCCCATTCTATGGCCATGGAGCTTCTTCAAAGTAAAAAAAAATCAAAAGTACCAAAAAAATTGAACATACTTAAAGAACTCCTCGACTGGTGTTGTTGTCTTGTTATGATGAGTAATATTGTCAAAAATCTTCGTGTGATTCTTTAAATCAATCTAAAATGTAAAAAATTATGAAAATTATAAAAAATTAAACGTGATATATTTGTAATTTTGTCGGTATCGTTTAAACTAGACTTTTGTTCCCGAAGGGGTTGTATTGCAATATGATATCTGACCGTTTAGTTTAACATCATAACTTAAAAATATTTGTAGTTTAGCTTCTTAAATTTTGAAATATTCCTTTTGCGGAAAAAAGTAAAATTTTGACCCCTAACTTGCAATCGTGGACTTTTCAGGACTAAATGTAAACGGATTAAAAGTGTTAAACGAAATTATTATTTATTATAAGTTATTTTCCTTCATAACGTTATACAGATTTAAGTTTTAAGCACATATTTACAAAAAATTGCAATCATTATGAGTATTCTATTTCATTTTTAAAACTTTAAAACGAGAATCATGAATAAAAAAAAGTAAGGTTTCCTATTCAAGTTGATTTTTTGTTCATTTACAATCGCGAACAAACAAAAAATTGAATTAAAATATATAAATTAGAGCAATAAAAGGATGACTTATTTTTAAAATATTCTTAAACTTTGAAATAAAATGTTTAAATCTAAACAAATATGGACATAGAGCGAACAGGAGAGAACTGAGTAATTGATTTGATTTTATTAATTTATTGATTAATTGATTAATTGAATGATTAATTGATTGATAAATTGAATAATATGAATGATTAATACCTGGTTTTCTGTTATGTTGTCATGTGCTTTAAAGCAGTAAGGAGTATTCCAATGCCCGTCTGAAATGATGTTTACAGTATTATAAGTTTTTAGTGAGAAAACAGAGCCTGGAAAACAAACTTCAATAATTTGCAATTTGATTTTTTTGTATTTAAGAATTTTTGTATTAAAGCGACTTTATTTCAAGAATTTTTTGTATTAAAGGGGAGTTTACTTCAAGTAACTCTTCATTTGACGAATTAAATGTCACAAATATATCGTTTAAACCTGCGCCGAAGCAAAAATAATGGTTATATTTATATATTGGATAAATTTCATGAGAGGTTTCTCTGTAATAAGGTAACTGTAAATTTGTGAGATATACATAATGAAGGAAATAAGCAGAATTTATCTCTTCCAATGGGAGAAAAAGCTTCCTCATTTTTGATAAAAATTGTAAATTGGGGCGTTTAACTTCAGATTACGACGAAAGTCCCTTAAAAAAGCTTTAAAGAGAGTGATCAGCAATTTATGGCAGTTGAACTAAGATTGCAGTATTGTAGAGAAATTTTTTATGATTTATTTGAGACATATGTTTTAAAGATCTATAATTACTGAGTTTGAGCGCAAAGTCGACGACGTTCTAGATCATCAATTTGGGTGGGTACGTTTTTCAGAATCGTTTTTTTTAATTATTAAATATAATTAAATTATTAAATTATGTATCTCAAATGAATTCTAAAAATAATTCTCTACAATACATGCAATCTCAGTTAAAACACCATACATTGCCGGTCACTCCCTTTAAACTAACCGCAAGTATCCCATGGAAGATCAGGTAGAGCTGTAAAGGTTGCAATCAGGTAGAAGAAGGTCCAGGCTATGATTATACAGTAGTAAATATCAAGGAAGAAGACGACCACCATTGTAGCAATACCAGTTCCTAGACAAAAAAAAACGTTTAATCAATTAATCATTTTTACTATTTCATCTTTTTAAAATTATTTTATAGTTTTAGACCTTTTAGTTCTAGAATTAACAAACTTTTTAAAAATTTAAATACATTATTATTATATTTTAATTTAACAAACTTTTTTTGTTAAAGCATACATGTATCCAAAATTGTGTTCTGTAGATTCTTGAATAAATAAATAGACAGACAGACAAATTGACGGAAAGACAGACGGACAAATAAACACCAAGATAAATAAACAGATAAAAAGACTGACAAATAGACAGATAAATAAACATAAAGACAAATTAACGGACAGGCAAATAAACAAACAGACAAATAATAGACAGACAGGCCATATCCAGACAAATAAAAATACAGATTAATAAAAAGACAGACAAAGATACACCCGGCCAAATAGACAGACAGAAAAATAAACAAACAGACAAGTAAAGGACAGACAAGTAAACAGACAGACAAATACACCATGTAATTGGGCTCATTATCAAAGCTGACTCATAAAAGTGTGTACACCCCACTAAAATATTCATGATATTTAGTTTTACACAATTCCCAAATTATGAAATAAAAATATTCGATATAAATTCGTTGCTAAAGAAAGCCAAAAATTCAATCGCATTTTTTAAAGACTTTTTCAGATTCTGAAATATTTGAAATTTGTTAGCTATTTATTGTAATTATGAAATAGGGGAAAACAATTACAAAAATAAAATGAAACAATTCATTTTATTTTTATATTTCAATTTATTTTCTAACTTTGTAAAAGTAAACAGAAATAATTTTAATAAAAAAAAAAGTAAAAGAACAATAACTTTAAATTCATTTATCCAAATATATTCCTAGTTAAAAATTAGTATATAAATTTGAAAAATTATAAAAATTATAACTTTTTTTAAATCAACACAATTTTGAATTTTGAATATGAATTCCTCTTTCTGAAGATGTATGGAAAAGAACAAAAATGATTTAAATTCGTTATTTGAGAAATTTGCGTTTCTAATTACAAAATCAAATTAGATGAGCTACGAGGTCACAAAGTCAAAACAGCAAATTCAATCAAATTTGACTTTTCCATTTTGTTTAGATTGAAATAATTTAGATTTAAAAATGAATAAACTTTCACCTTTTAACATTGGACACAGTTGGCCAACCAGGGTCATTCCTCCAGATCCCAGATACTGACCGATAGCAACCTCCTGATAATGATAATAATAATGATAATACTGATTATAAAAATATGAATAATGATAATAATAATTATAATGATATTAACAATTATGGTAGTTGTAATAGTAAAAATTATAATCATAACAATAACGCTAACCAATATAAAAAAATATCAATAATAATAATGATAATAATAATAATAATAATAATAATGATAATAATGATAATAATGATAATAATGATTATAATGATAATAATGATAATAATTATAATTATGATAATTTTGATAATTATGATAATAAATCAACAACAAAAATATAAGTAATTAAGATGAAAAGGAAAAGTGTTGCTAAAGAATAATAAAAAAGATAAAAATAATTTTATCTGAAAACTACCAAAACCAACCTGATAGAATATAGGGATACCACAGAAAACCATAGCTGTGAAGTAAACTATCAAAAACGAGCCTAAAATAAAATAATGTTAACAAAGTATAGGCGCCAAAATGTTTTAATAAATAAAACTTTCATCTTGCTTTCTTTGGCATTATAATTTCTTTATACACTGTATACACTATACAAAAACAGAACAAAAATGTTGTAAATTTTCTTGTTTTTTTTGGTGGATTTTTCAAATTTTCAAAAATATAAATTTTGGAGGGAAATGTAATTATCCAAATATAAAAAAAGATCATTATCATAAGACAATTTTAGTTTCAAAGAAATAATTCTAAATTAGGATTGATATGCAAAAATTTCTAACACTTTTTTTGGTGAAATAAGTGATGATTTATTGTGTATTTTCTTTGTTTTTATTGCTCCCCAATAAGAAAAGTATTGGATGAGAATTTGCCAATTTATATCTCAGATATATAGTATCATCACTGCCCGTCTCATTGCTCCGCTACATAACCTTATCATGGAAGCTGTAAATTGTAAACTAAACGCTGTACACTGTATACTGTAAGCTATAAACGCTGTACACTGTACACTGTAAACTATAAACGCTGTACACTGTATACTGTAAACTATAAACGCTGTACACTGTACACTGTAAACTATAAACGCTGTACACGGTACACTGCAAGCTCTACTCTGTTTAACGTACATTTAGCCTTTTACGTTAGTGCACTATGAGGTGCAGTGCATGGGGCCGAAGAAATCAAGTAAAGTCTAAATTTCAGCAGAATTTTTTTGTCTAAAATTATAATTTTTCCAAGATAATTTTTTTATTTTAACATTGTTGGGTTTAACACAAAAAAGTAAACGAACTATTTCTGGATTTACTTTGCCGTACGGCTTACATTATAAAACGCATTCAATTAACTAGTACAGTGTACAGTGTGCAAAGTAAACCTCTAGACAGTACAGTGTACAAAGTAAACATCTAGACAGTACAGTGTACAAAGTAAACATCTAGAGAGTTCATTGTACAGTGTATAGTGTACAAGGTCAGCCTCTAAAAAGTACAATGTACAGTTTACAAGACCTCTAGACAGTACAGTTTACATTTACAGTGTACAAGGTCAGCATCTATACAGTACAGTGTACAAGGTCAACCTCTAGACAGTACAGTGTACAGTGTACAAGGTCAACCTCCAGACAGTACAGTGTACAGTGTACATGGTCAACCTCCAGAAAGTACAGTGTACAGTGTACAAGGGCAACCTCTAGACAGTACAGTGTACAGTGTACAAGGGCAACCTCTAGACAGTACAGTGTACAAGGTCAACCTCTAGACAGTACAGTGTACAGTGTACAGTGTACACGGCTACAAGGTCAGCCTCTAAAGATTAAACTAACCTCCGCCATTTTTATAGCAGAGGTAGGGGAACCTCCAGACATTCCCTAGACCTACAGATACAGATATACAGGAGAAAAGGAAATCTAATTTATTCCCCCACTCTCCTCGAGCAGGTCCATCATCATCATCCTCATCATGTACCTAAACATACACTAGGAGTAGTCATTAATGCATTTATTAGAGAATTAATTGACTTCTTGATTGATTGATGTACTTTTAAAAATCAATGATTTATTTATTTTTACTTATTTTCTATTTATATATAAAGTGATATGACCAGTTCAATCACATCGGTACCCTCAAATACTTTTTCTGTCCGAGAGTGAATGAGTTAACAATGTTTTGAAAATTGATTGAATTCAATTGGCGTTTCTCTATAAAAGTGACTTTTTGTTCTATAGTCGAACAAATAGTAAAAATGGTTAAATTGAATTATTTTAAAGAGGGAAAAACAACGATATCTTCTTATTATTGATCACTTAAAATTACTACATTCCTTTTTTTACTGTTAAGTCCTGCTTACTTAAAACGGATAATTTTTTTCTTTTTTAATCTGGAGAAATTGTGATGCATTCAAGCTGAACATAAATACTATTTTGACATTTAGAAAATATATATTATCTCACCTTAACGACAGGAATGTCTCCAGCTTTGAACTCAATAAAATTATCCCCTTCTTCCTCGGAAATAGGGTCATTATCCNAAGATATGTAGACTGAAAGCTGATAATCAGCTCTGTATAAACACTAGGAATATCAGGATAAGATATGTAGACTGAAAGCTGATAATCAGCTCTGTATAAACACTAGGGATATCAGGATAAAATATATATATAGACTGATAGCTAATGAAAAGCTCTGTATGCACACTAGGGGTATCACGATAAGATATGTAAACTGATAGCTGATAATCAGCTCTGTGTAGACACTATGGGATATCAGGATATGATATGTAGACTAAAAGCATTTATAGATTAATAGCTGACAATCAGCTCTATATAAACATTAGGGATATAAGGATAAGAAATGAAAACTGAGAGCTGATAATCAGTTCTGTATAAACATTAGGGATATCAGGATAAGATATGTAGACTGAAAGCTGATAATCAGCTCTGTGTAGACACTAGGGATATCAGGATAAGATATGTTAACTGATAGCTGATAATCAGCTCTGTATAAACACTAGGAATATCAGGATAAGATATGTAGACTGAAAGCTGATAATCAGCTCTGTATAAACACTAGGAATATCAGGATAAGATATGTAGACTGAAAGCTGACCACTGCATATATGTAAAATCTAGAGAAAGCATGTATTTACAATGCGACGCTTTGTAACTCGAGACATCTAGTATAAATGCTCCCTGAGCAATTATATTTTAAACTTTGATTAATTTTAAATAAAAATATAAATCTTACACATTCATGTTGTAATATCGGCATATTTCTTGTCTTGAGATAACAAAAGCTTATTCGAAAATTTTGACAGATGTTACTGTATCAAAATATTCACTTTCTTGCATGATTAAAAATAAAATAAATTTTGCAACGTTTTTACGCACAGAATATTCAAAGAGTTTCGAATTTTTCCATACAAATTGTTTCATAAGTCTTCTAAAATTATTAAATGATTCAATCTTTCAAAAATTTAGTTTTGTCCCAAAAATCTCATTTTAGTGTTTCTAAAATCCAATTTGTTACCTACAACATTTACAAAATATCTCAATAATCCCTTTATTATGAAATACGAAATATGAAAGACCAGCGACCAGCGTATAACCAAGGTCGAGAACTTATGAAAAAAATGTCATTACGCTGCATTTTTGAAAGCTCCTGTCCCTAAGTATGTTGCATATTTACAATCTTAATAATTTTATTTTTGTTAATTAAAATCTTTAAAAAAAGATAATCTTTAAATCTATTTATATTCGTAAAAAACCGGTTTTCACCGCCTAGTAACCGGCATGATTGAAATTTAGCAGAATACAGCCTGCTTTCTTCATCACCAGCTGAAATCAGATGTTTGTATCTTTCAAGATTTTAAATCTAAACAGCAAAAATTGCCTAGTTAGTGATAAACAGAAAACAGATCTCTATGTGTTATTTTTATTTTATTATTATTTTATTTTTATTTATTATCATTTTTATTAGTTTTAGGCCTTGTGGAAAAAATGTATCCCCTCTAACAGACTAAAACCCTTACTATTTCCCCCCGCTTTACTGGTTAGCAAAGGGTTAATTCTTAATATAAGTAAATCTAAAAAAAGCTTACTAAGCAGTAATCAAGACTCAGAAATCATGCTAGGTCAGACCAAATCAGGAGAGGAGAGAGGGTGAAAGGGGGGGAGGGAAGGGGAGGGGGTTCAATGATATATAATCAAAGATACCAATAGGAATTAAAAGGCGAACTAGAAATGTTTATGAAAAGAATTTTGGGGATGTCTCACGAATTTTTGTTGTTCAAATTTCGAAAATTACGATCAAAATGTTTTCTCTTATAGTACACTTGGCTTCCAGGCCGCTTCGCGCCCATCTTCCATTTTAACTTTTAATTGTTGCTAATTTATCGAAATTGTTTCGTGGATTTAAAAAAAAAATCAAATTTGTTAATTCTTATAATTCTAAAACTTTGCCTGAGGATTTGCCAGTTGCCTTAAAAATGTTGAGCTCGATCAGTTCAACCGCTTTGACGTTTATTTGATTTAAACAAACAAACAGACAAGCAAAGTATGTAAATATAAGAAAAAGAAAGCTAAAAACACAAAACTTGTGACTTAATCTTACATTAGATTCAGAGGTAGAAATATAGAATATTTTGATGTCCCATTGGACCATGCATGGAAAGTTCCGGTTTTACAAGAACTTTTAAATACAAGAATGAATAACTTATATGTTGAAGGATTCGATGATTACGTAATAACTGAAATGATAAATATGTTATGTAATGAGTAAAAATCCATGTTTTTTATTTGTGCATAATTTAGCATATTTTTTCTCTTTTCTTTTGGAAACCTGTATTTTCAAAAAAAAATTATTTAAACAAATTTAAACTACACCATTTATATATGTATTTATATCTTTGTGTGTGAATAAATCTTTGTAATAAAAAAAACAATGGAATTAAGTATCCTACATTTTTCAATGCTTAAGTCAGACTTGGAGCGAAATTAGACAAAATTAGAAAAGTGTGTGAGCTCGAAAAACGCTCTGAATTTGCATACGTTAAATTTTGCTTTACATTGAAATTTAAGCTTAATATTTTAAAAACAAAAATTAAAAACCTTTAGGATCAATTTTCAATTTGAGAACTATTCTATTTTGTTCATGCTGAAGGAAAGGCATTAACGGTTAATTAATCCATGGGAGGGGGGAGGGGAGGGGGGAGGTTGTAAGCGTATGATCATATGAGGACATTAATCAAAAGTTTTTTTGGTGCAGTGGCCGCAAGGTCAATTTTAACCCAGGATCATTTGACGTAATGGCCTTACATATATACGCAGAAATATTCAATCTATAATTATCTACACAAATTCTGTTTTAAAAGTTTAAGTCTGGTAATATATCATTTGGAAAGTTTACATCACTTGCATTTTTGTTTTGCATCAAAAATAAACCTAAAATTGGCGTAAAGAGGCAATGTTAATGTTTAAATAATTTTTATTAAGTTGGTTTGAATTATTCATTTAAAACAATCTGAATACTTGAACCACATCATTTTCATCGTATGTATTGCAAGAATGCAAGAAATATAAAAAGATAAATACATTTTTGAGACGTTAAATTTTGTTCAAAATTTCCAAATTTCAAAGATTGAAGAACACTGTAATGATGTCATGTATTTTCCATGATTATTAGGACACTTTTTATTCTAAAAGTTATTTGCAGCATGACGATTAAAGGGACTGTAAGCGTAATTTCAAGTGACCCGCCATGCAAAGATGGCAATGCCTGATTTACAATAGTACCCTTGAAACCTTTATCTGATCAATAATGGGGAAGAAATTGTCGTTTTCCAGGTTAAAAAGTATTTAATTTTGATAATTCCTATATGTTTTCCTGGCATAGAAATGCTCAAGTCATTTTTAGAGAGAACCCACTTTTGAAAATTCCATAATTTTAAACATTGATATCTAATTCATACTTGATTAAACAAAGTTTTTAAAGTTACCGTTGTGAATCGGACATTGCCATCTTTGAACGGAGGGTCACTTGAAATGACGCTCACAGTCCCTTTAAGAATGCATATTCTGAAATTTTTCTTAATGTTTAAAATTCCCCCGAACATATTGCATCTACCTTTCATTCAACTCACTGCGTAATTTAGGACTCTGTTATCAATCAAACTTTTAGGAATTGGAAAATTTAAATATAAAAATCAGAAACACAAAAAAAAAGTTAGCGTAAAATATAATTTTGATAAATTTTAGTTTTTCTTAAAACAGTATTTTCTCAATATGAATAAATGAAAATAATGAAATACGCTACTCCAGACTGTAGGAGCTAAAGGTCACAAAATCGTACCAGTAGTGTGGCATTCTCCTTCTCCGAAATAATCATTATAGACTCATTTTTACAGGTTTACAGTTTAGACCCTTTTAATACAGTTAAAGCCTAAATAAGCCACACATCGAAAGAATTCATCAATTGACAAATTCTTCACTTTCTGATAATGGAATGTTGCAGATATCTAGTTATTTAATTAAATGATGATATGGAGCTCTTTATAACTGTTCCCTCATATTCATGGCTTTTCATTTATTTTCGCAAATACTGATATTTACGTAAAAAATTATAAAACCCTTGAAAAAATTTAAAGACGACATTTGATAAATTCTTTTGATATATGACTCATTTAGGGTTTACAACTTAAACTAAATGTTTTTACTTGTCTTACTAGGTGCTATAAATGCCTTTTTTTTATAAAAAACACTGTTGAAATAGTGTAATTGTATTATTTTTTAGCTCAGATTTTTTTTAAAGTCAGGACCAGACCATGATTTTCTTTAATAGATAAAGACGATTTTACTTTCGTGTTAAGTGGAAATTCCCTGTATACTGTATATCCTCAGATAACTTTATTTCACGGTTCTAAGGGCAAGGGTGAAACCAGAGTTTTTAAGAGGGGGTGGGGGTGGGGTAGTTGAAAACGAGTTTGGTTTGGTTTGGGGGAATGGGGGGAGGGAATATTTAACCCGGCCAAGTAGTAGCCCTAAAGGCTGGGGGAAAGCTTGATACAAAAATGTAAATAATCCTGTATTAAGGAATTCTCTGTTAAATCCCCCCTGAACCCTAACCTGCACATAGAACAAATAATCTTGGTGAAGAATAATCTAAGGTTAAAAAACCACCTGCCAGTTTACATAAAATAACGGAGATGAAAACCATGATGATAAATTGTACTTTAAAATAGCACTATGATAACTGTTATTTCTCCGACACTAAGAGTTAACCCTCTCCTGCCGGAAACCAGTGCTCCGATATACTTGGAGCTAAACCTCTCTCAACTCATCCTCCCTTCTCCGAGGTCTCCGAATCACTGCGGAGCTAGGCTTTCGTTGAGAGAGACGGTCTACAGGGACTAGAGACAGATAGATAGTTAGGATACACACAAATAGGTAAAAATAATATAAATAAACACAAAGTAAAAAGATGAATAAAGGAGTTTGATTCAGAACCTAGACAGGAAACCATTATGATGAGTATAGAGATGATTATTTCAAGTAAAAATATTTATTTAGCAAGTCAGCTTTTTATCAATCAAATTATTATTTCCTAATTAGATTTAGGATTAATTAGGAAATAATCCTTCCTTCCTTAAAATTCAAATTTTCACAGATTATCTCCGACATAACTACTGATGACTGATGACTGATGGTTTGTTTGAATAAAACTTTTCAAATCTGAGAATTGTGTAATTAGATACAAGGATAGTTAAACAAAGGTTTAGTTTACCAGGCTTCTACTCAATCAGTAGATAGTTTATAGACACGGGCGTACACAGACTTTCGTGTTCGCTCCCCCTCACCCTTGAAGCTCGACAAAAGTTTATAAGATAAAGATATTTTTTAAATTGTTCTAAAACTTCAAGGTTCTCTTCTGGCCTTTGAGATTCGAAGACCTCTCATATCATAGATTTTAGAAAAGATGTACACAATTGGGACAGATCTTGACATGATGTCAGGTTTTTTGCCAATATCACGTTTTGTAACTTTCTGAAATAAAAAAAAAGATAAAACAAAACAGATTTTTTTTAAATATCAGATTTGCAGGGGAAGACGAGAAGCACCCGAAATTCCTGTAAATTCTACGAGGGAGTGAAGCATGATGTCTATAACACTGTTTAAACAT